CAGTACAAATATTCCTTGCCACAGTGCTTGACAGAAATTAGTGCCCTCAAAAAATAAATAATACCAATAGTATCTTCCAAATGCACTCAGATTATAGGCAAATCCCTTACCATGGGGTGCAAACTTTTTTCCCCTAACTTATAGTTCTTGTCTTTTGGCCTGGAATGCTTTTCCTGGAATATTCAGAGGCAGAGAGAGGAGATCCTCAAGTGCAGGAAATTATAAGTATAATAGTATGGACAGAGATAGGGAGTGTGGTAGGAGACCACATTTCAAGGGTTTCTTAAATATTGTGTGAAAACTTGGAGGTTATGCTAGCATTTTGTAGTAAAATTAACTGGAGTTTCCCAAAGGAAGACATGATCAAATGCTATTGAGAAGTATGGAAACGAGATGACTACAATCTTAACAAAAGCCGTGTCAGTGGAGTAGAGTGTGTCAACGTGTGATTTAAAATGAGGAACTAGAGATGCATGTATGAAAAAATAATTTAAGAAATTGTGTTCTGAAGGGGAACAAAACTGTTTGGTAGCTACAGGGAGAATTAGGATCAAGTGAGATTGATAGTTTTGTTGTTATTTGTTTTTGCTTCATCTTACTTTGTTTCCATTGAAAAGTTCTGGAAAATTGTATTGGGCTCATGTGAATTACTAGATGAGAGAGAGAGAGAGAGAAGAGAGAGAGAGACTGAGTATGTAAAAGAGATAGCAGACACTTGAAAGATTAGTCTCAGAGAGTAGAGATGGGGTTCCTAATTCAAATATATTTTTCTGAAGGAGCAAAGACATATTTCCATTTTAGCAGAAAGAAAGGTAGAGAGAGTGGGGACATGTGCATATTGGTTTGGAGATTTGGTGGAAAGAAAATAAGAAAGTTCCTCTCTGACGACGTCTATTTTCTCAGCACACAGACAGATATACCAACTAGGAGTCACAAAGGAACAGAGCTTGTAAGGAATTAGAAGAAAAAGGAGGATTTACAAAATAATCATATTCCTGCTGAGAACTGAAGTTAACTAAGGAAATAATACTAAGATTATCTAGCAGCATTGTATGTCCCATTTGGATTTGGGGCCATGATTTGAAGGCAGTGAATAATTATTTTGTGATATTTTTCTTGAACAACATTGAAACCCACAGTTTTCCACTCTGTACCTCTATTTGGATTTCTATAGCCCCCTCAAATTAAATAAGCTTTAAACATAATCATTACCTTCCCCTAAACACATTTTGTATCTAGTGTTCTCTGTCTGAGAGAATGGCACCAGTGTTTCCCGTGCAGTTTAAGCCAAACACCTTAGAGGCGTTCTTAGGATTTCCCACTCACTCATCTGACCATTAAATACATCATGAAATCTTGTTGATTTTACCTCATACTCATCTCCTGAATTCACCTACTTTTATCTATCACCATTTGGACCACTCTTGTTAAGCAACAGAGTCTCTTTCTGGACCAGTACAACAGAAACAAAAGGGCCAATGGCCTCCATCCATGCTCCTCTCCAATCCCATGCTGCTATGAAATTCTCTCTTAAACACCACCTTGATTTTATTATTTCCCTGCTTAAAACTTCGTAATGACCTCTCCTTACCCATGAAGTCCCAAATAATAAAAACTGTAAGATGTTTGTGCCCTGATGTCCTCTTGCACGTCTAATTTTCATCTTTGCAGCTTTATTCCTACTATCTCCCTGATCAATTCTTTAGTTCCCCCGTCTCCCTATTTGTTCTCCACCTCTTTTGGTCCTTTGGAAGGATTTTCGCCTCTAATGTACTGCAATACTCCTGCTCACATTGGATAATTTTCCTAATCTTTTACATCTCAGCAGAGACTGAGCTTCCTGAGGGAAGTCTTTTTGACATTTCAGTCTAAATTAGGTGTCAATGTTCATTCCCATGCTCTTTCCTTTTCCAAGCATAATCATATTGATAATTATTCATGTAGTACTTTTAAGACTCATAAAGGCAAGGCCATGTCTATCTTGTTTACCTCTGTAACCCAGTACCCAGCAAAATTTCTGGCCCACCACACCTGCTGAAAGCATTTTGTTGATCTACTGAACAGAAAGATATATTTATTTACTTTTTACTTACATTTATATTATTTCCTATTCCCAAAGTTCCTGTGGAAGGTTGAATAACAGTGTTATATATGATATCATATAAAACTTTTAAGTTAAAAGGCACTCATTAAAAAGAAATGACTTTTGTTTCATGAATGATAAGTGAATTCCAAATACACATAATATGTGGATTGACACTTCATGTCTTTGAAAGCAAATAGTGTTTAAAGAGAGAATGGTTTTACTGAAGAAGATAAAAGAAGAAAAATTGGATAACTTAAGCTAAGAATGGTATTGGCTGCTACAGCAATCCTATTATAAGAAAAATAATATTCTAAATCTTCTCCTAATCATTTAACTACAAGAATGTTCCTAATACTATCAAAAAGCTCTTCTTATCTTTGGAATACCTTCACATTCTCTCTGAATTTATAAGAGCATTAAGGCTTTACTATCGCTATAATTAGATCTACTGAAAAAAGTACCTTCTCCTTTTTGTCAATTCCTGATTATTCATGGTGATGGCAGAAAGCCTTAGCGTGGATTCCTAAAACCCCGGATCATTTATAGCACATGAAAATTAGCCCCAAATCATTATGTCTATCAAAAATTTCTATTGAAATACAAGTTCACCTTTGAGCTTTAACAAATGCTCATTGATGCTTGAATAAATGCTCATAAATATATGTAGCGAATTTTGAAAATAGATAAAAATAGAAATGATTGATTAGCTTTATATAAACTAAGCCTTAAAAGGTTATCAAACCATCATTTTGGTGGTCTTCTATTGGCCTATATTGGGCAAGTGGAATAAAAGCTTGGCTTTATTAGACACTGAGAAGAAAGAAAGATACAAAAATCTAGGGAATCCACAGAATAAAAAGATTTACTTTGTTAGCGCTTACTTACTTGACCACCAACACAAATGTTAACAAAAATATCCAGAGAACATTTTCTTTATGTGATTCTAAATAGTTCAGTTACAATCTTCCTTCCACGCCATTTATTTATTTATACGTTACGTAGCAATTTATGAACACCTATTCTGGTCAAATACTGTGTTAAGTACTGTGAATTCAAAATTGAATAAGACACACTTTCTATCTATATAGATCATTACAATTTGTATAGTATAAGTATGATTGATATGAGAATAGATGCTTCTTAATTCAAAGAAAAGTTCTAAAATGCAGTAAAATGTAAAATAAATGCCTAAAATCTGACTCCTCCTGAAATCAGTATAATGATGTGAATGATACATCCACTCATTCATGCATTCTCCCCAGTCTAACAGAATTTGTGAAGCTCTTAGCATCTACTATTTAATTTATTTATTAATTCAATAACAAAATTTTGAGCATCTACTGTGTACCATGCTATTCTATAAACATAGTGGAAAATTTACATTTCTTCAACATAAGTTGTATTAATAATAGAGTAAATGAAAATTATACTTAAAGCACTGCTTCAGAAATACATATAAGTATTTACCTCATAATATAATTTTTTATAAGCTCCTGTAGCATATAAATCATTGAAAATATATACATTCCAAACGTTTAATTTAAATACTTAAATATTTGATTATCTGAATGAATAGCTTGGTATTTATGATTCAGAAGCTTATGAAAAATTTTTGAAATTACTGCAAAGATTTTGTTATATGTAATCTGTGTATGTTAGTCAAAATAATGACATGATTCACAAAACAAACACTGCGTCTGTTCCAGGGAAAAGCTTAGTCTCTTATTTCTTTTGACAGTGTGCAGACCTGGGTTCTTCAAAGCCTCACCTCACAGCCAGAGCTGCAGCAAATGTCCACCTCACAGTTATACCCATGAGGAAGCTTCAACCTCTTGTGTCTGTGAAAAGGATTATTTCAGGAGGGAGTCTGATCCACCCACAATGGCATGCACAAGTAAGGAAACCCGTGGATATTTGGTGATGCTAACTTTCACCAGTTTGAAAAAAGAGCATGATGGAGCCTGTTACATTCTATTACCATTTCCCCTAAAACAGGCATAATGTTTCATCTTCCAATATAGTATTTCACCAAATTTCGATCTTTTTGAAAAAGCATTGAAAAGTTTGAGTCTCTTTTATCACTCACTATTAGAAGCATCCATGTTCCCTAATTTCAAATTCAACATCTGAGATACAGATATAGAATTTTTCCTTTTATTTTGTGATCTTTTATTGTTTATGATAGCCAAACATGACTTGATAAATTCATTTCCCTGTTCACAGTAAAAGTTTTTTTTTTTTTTCCTTCTCCCAATCCAGTTTTCTGATCACATAACCATACAGTAAATGGCACTTTTGCCACCAGGTTCTAACCTGCCCCAGTAAGCTGCTAAGGCCAATGAGAAGGTCATTCGTAAAAGAAGGCAGGAAACACTACAAGAACTTTGGGTACTGGGGGTTGGAAAATCAGATTTAAGAGTCAAACATAAAACCAATTTTTTAGCTAGGATTTTCAAGCAGTTGTCATGTTTCTTATTAGTGAGTGTCCTTAACTGTTATTAACTATGTGATTGGATAATCATATAATTAGAGTGATGAATATTAAACATCTGATTTCCACATTGCAGTGGAGGCCTCCACATCCATCAGTGCTTTTGGCTCTTTTGTTTTTCTAGTGTTCCACATATTTCTGAGAAGGGAACAAATTTATGTATTTGTTTGCTTGATTGCAATATTTTCATATTTTTTCCACAATTATAGTCTCTATAGCAAATCAGACGAATACAGAAAAAGAAAGGGAAGAAACGTGAATCCCCTTTCCCCATAACATTCAATTTCTATGACCTGTCTTGTTTTACTATTTTAGCTTATAGTAAGTTGTAGTTACTCTCAAAGATGATGACAAAGATTCTTGAAATTTAGTATTCATTAGTATTAAATGTAAAGAGACATACAATTCCTTTAATTAAATAATCACAAACTGAAATTTTCTCTGAATTTCAGTGTCTAAATTTCATAGTGTCAGTGAAACATTTTCATAATTCCTCAAATCATTGATATTAATCAACTTTACATTGGTAGAGATCATTCTTTTATCACAAGACTGATAATTTTATGGGTTAGATGATTACTAATTATAAACAATTTCTCTTCAAATGAGTAAATGACATTATTATATACACTTTTGGCAGGACACATTTGAATAGAGGAGATATAAACTATGATTGAATGTGATGCATTTTGATTGCAGTGGAGATTATTTCAGTTAATCAGAGCAAAAGAATGCCCAAATAGTGGAGGAAAATGTTGACTAGACAATAGAATGGTAAATTAGGGAGAGAAAACCGTGTCTTGAATTATCTTTTACTTTTCATTAATTTTCTAATTATTATTTTCTTTACGTAGTCCAGTCATGATCTTTCTCTTTCTTAGCATAAATGTGAACCTCCCTTTCTGTAAATTTGTTAGGTTTGGGAACTGGGGGGAGAGCCTGTGCTCTGGTGGCAAGGACTGCTCAGCACTCTTTTAGGACCTGAGTCCATAGTAAAGCTTCACATTTTCTCTGTCTCCAGGTGTGTGAATTTCTAACGCTGTATCTCAAAAGAACCCTAATTTGTATGCATTTCTCAAGAGACTATTGGGACTCATGTAGAAGATCTTTCTAATATATAATCTGTGAGCGTGTGTGTTCTGTTTTAGTTGCATTCATAGTACCACAAATGCTGCATGTGATCCCCTTGAACAGATGGCTTGATTGACGTTCAGATGAAAATCTTGAATTTTCTTTCCCTTTGGCTCATTGGAATTAAATTTATTGTTCCAATTCCTTTCACCATTTTTTCTGGAAAAAAATATATATGTAAAATCTGGAAAACAGAATGTTACAAACCTATAGGAAAAGGAATCAGACAAAAATAAAAACCAAGCTTCTAATGAATCTGCTTAAATCAAGGGTACTTCTCACAGCTCTGCTGTGGCTCATACATCACATCTCTTAGTGGGGCAGTGCAATTGCATCACATTATGGTTAGGTGTGTGTCAGTCTGAGCCTCTACTTTTTGCCTCTACTTTAGGGCTTCACTTGCATTTGAGTTTTGTTTTGACTTTAAGAGGCATGTGTGTTCCCACCCAGAAGAAAAGGAAGAGCCAGATTCTGATGGATTGTTACAGATTTAGAGGAAAGGTGTTAAATGGGGGTATTTTTCAGTAGGCAGAAACTTCTGTTTGATATCTTTCTGAACTAGATATATTTCAGGTATATTTTACCTTTTTCTGAGAAGTAAACTTGTAACATTTTGATCCAAAATTACGTTTTCTCCATAACTTTCCACTATTAAATATGCTAAAAATTATAGAAAAAATAATACTTGTATTTCCATCTTAAGAAATTGTTTCAATTTAAAAGTGACTGTTTTATATTCAAGTGTGTGAAGTTGTACGTATGGCAAAGTTCACAGAGTTGAACCAAAACCAAAATGGGGATTGTTTTATTAGTAATGGCAACTCTTGGGTTATGGATTCCTTTAATTTAAATGACATTTTGTAAATACTAGGTAGTTGTCTTATCACTTTTTAAATTTAGTCCTTGACAATCATGGCTTAATAAATGTTAGGTAGAAATTAATATTAATCTCTATATTTAGAACAGACAATGTGCATTAAGCTAGCTAAGCTATGTCATCCTAAGTAGCTTAATTTATTCTTATGACCCATTCAACTACCACCATATTCTATTTTATTCCCTGTCAGGAAATCTGTACGAATTAAGTCTGAAACAAATGTAAATGTATTTTCTGTTTGAGAAAAATCTGAACGTATACCATTAACAGCTGACTGAAGTTGTAACTCTAAATATCTGAAAATCGACTATAGAGTTGACATTATGTAATTAATTTTTTAAAAGACTGTAATCTTTTTTGGAACAGTTTTATGTTCACAACAAAAATCAGAGAAAAATACAGAGCTTTCCCATATATCCTCTGCCCGCATATATGCATAGCCTCTCCCGTTATCAATATCCCCTCCTAAAGCAGTACATTTGTTACAATTGATATGTAATCGATTTTAATTCTCTTTAGTTTGCTACTTATTAATTTCAGAAATAAAGTAATATACAAATGGACATTATTTATTATTTATATATGACTGCTGATCCTTCAAGATCTGAACACTTTCATTCTTCCTCTTGTAGTGTTTTTGAGAGTTATTTTTGAAATAAATTTCAGATTTCAATTAAGTAAAATTCACAACTTGCAGAACCACAATACTAAAACAATATCAAAGTAAGTGAAATTTTGTTATAGGCTGTAATGTTGACCAACTACCTAAATTCTAGTTCTTTCTTGACATATGAGAGAGGTTCCAAATTCTGTTGGTGATTTATCAGTAGATACGAAATTTATTTTGAGGTAAGCTAAGGCTATTTTTTTACTGCAGATTTGTAGTCCAGAGCCACACTGAAAAATCCTATTTTTACCTGTGTTCATTGCTAGTAAATCCTTCATGTTAACTTCCCAGGTTTCAGGGACAAGTATCAATGAGGAGGTAATCAGTTCAATCCCCAAGGAGAATTTTTCCTCAGATTTGCCAAAAGACTTGCCACTTTTTGAATATATAATTTTATCTAACATTATTTTTGTATACATAGTTTTACTTCACAATTCTTTACATCTACATGAAGCAAAACATCTGCTTCAACTGAACTAGTGTTATAACAATGCCAAGATAAGTCATTTCTATAGGATATAATGCCCACTATGTCCCTGCAAAACTATCACACGATTTTTCAAAGATTATTACAAATTCATAACTCTTGCATTCTCCCTACTTAAAAGATTGATTGCAAATCTATTGAAAATCTATTTTTTTCCCTTCAGACCAGGGATTTGTGTAGCAAACAATGCCTAATTTTATCATCTTAAATTATGTTTTTCTTACTTTACTTTGCAAACCAGGACCCCCCTCAGCTCCTCGGAATGCCATCTCAAATGTTAATGAAACTAGTGTCTTTCTGGAATGGATTCCTCCTGCTGACACTGGTGGAAGGAAAGATGTGTCATATTATATTGCATGCAAGAAGTGCAACTCCCATGCAGGTGTGTGTGACGAGTGTGGCGGTCATGTCAGGTACCTCCCCCGGCAAATCGGCCTGAAAAACACCTCTGTCATGATGGTGGATCTGCTCGCTCACACAAACTATACCTTTGAGATTGAGGCAGTGAATGGAGTGTCCGACTTGAGCCCAGGAGCCCGCCAGTATGTGTCTGTAAATGTAACCACAAATCAAGCAGGTAAGTGTAATGTCCAACCAAATCATGTACCTTAGGCCCAGCTCTGTCAATTATCTCCACAGCTGAGGGCTAAATTGCCTAAAATCTGTGAGGGAACATCCCATAAACCAGAGGGTTAGAACTTACACTAGAATACACCTTGAAATGCTTTTTTTAGTTTTAAATAAATCAAAGCTAAGGCTTCTTAGCAGACACATCCATGGACAGAAAGAAAATGATATGTTTTAATTGAATTTTTTCCTTAAAAATGCATTTCTGGCTCAAATCCATTTGTAGAAAAACCTTTTTATCTTATAATTTCACACACTGCAATTTTTATAGCTCAAATTTATATTTTTTAATTTTGTTTACTTCAAGTTTTTTTGTTTAATTCATTAATTTAGCATGTCATCAGGCAAGTTTTATTCGCTTATTTGTTTGTTTGTCTGACGCCACAACTGAAATTTCTTTGCAGATTGAAATAGGCTTTTCTTATTGTTTCTATTATTATTATAATAAAAATGCATGAAATGAATTTTTTTTTGATAAAGCCATTTATCAAAATTAGAATAACTATGACCTGTTATACAACCACATGAAAACACATCTATGTTTCATATGAAGATCTTGAAATTATTATTAGAGAATAATTATTAGGGAGTAAGGAATACAGTTCTGCTTGAGCTACTAATTCCCCCATAGTTTCCCCTCAAAGATTCAATTTTAAGTAAGTCAATATAGAGGGCTTCTTTTCTGGTAAAAGATAAACCAAAGATAAACTATGACTGAATTAATAATTCAACCTATCATGTGGTAAGAATAATTTAATGAGTAATTTATAACTTGTTTTTGTCAACAGCGGGTATCTGGGTGGGAGGAGGCATTAAATGTAACTTCTCTCTATTCCCCGGCCTCAAATCTCAGTTCAAGGGTATAAGCTTGTCACCTCATTAGTACATCAGGTGGACTTTGGTCAGTGATGACATCCTTGCCAGCAGGCCTCACAATGAAATGGGATGGGTTTGACTGAATCAAGTCGAATTTAGTTCATATAATATTAGTATAAGTTTGTAGATTATGGAATGACTGGATTGCAAGAGAATGCCGTAGGTAATCATGTCTTGGCCAAAATAATTTGAATTGTTGGATGGTCAGGTAAATCAAGTGGTTATCTCTTGAGAATAAGAAAATGCAGGCAGTTGAATTTATAGTTGCTTCTGATTGATAAAACTGAGGGACACATTCAAGAGTAGCCCAGATGATATGAAAGTGTTTGAGTAATTCACTAAGAATCATTCTAATCACTCTAGATGTTCTTATCCATGTTGAATTCATGCTCACAGCATTTCTTTAATTCCATGAGAGAAAACATTGCACAAACTTTGCCACTTTTTTCAGTGAATACTTTATATTATCCTCCATTTACTCCCTAACCTAAGGTGAAACTAATAAAATTGTTAAAGAGCTAGACAAGAATAGTGAAAATTGTTTTCCTTCAGTTTTGACTCAGCTGCTGGCAATACTAGTATATGTTGATTTTCCTTCACAGTATCTAGATGTCACATTCAGTAAATGTGAACTGTCTTCCCACATCAGAAAAATCTAGCTTTAAAGGTGTGATTTCAGGCTTCTTATGTAACATCTTTCAACCTCATTTGTTCTACATATGAATCTTCCATTAACATATTGAAAGCGTATTGAACAGTCACTAAGAGTTGTATTCCTTTGGGAGAACATTTTCTAGCTTGCATAACCTTGACTTCTTTGAAAGATATTTCTCTGATGAACTAGATGTAGGAAATGACTGTTTATTTTTAAAATGTGGTGCTTAATAAATATTTGCTTTAGTTGTCTTTGACTTGCTGGCCTGTTTAGACTGCAAAGTGTGTTTTTTGAATTATAAATACCTTAAATACCAAGAAGGAGTAATTTTCATCCAGCTGTTCAAGGCATGGCTATCATGTAAAATAAACATTTTATTCAGAACAGACATTTTGTTGACTTTGGGTTGCTGCTTTTTTCTAAGTTCTCAGGGTACACATACTGTAAAATCCTCGCAAACATACTCAAAAAAAATAATTAGATTTTTCTCAGTATCTGACATTCCAGACCAAGCCTCAATTTCCACAAAAATTGTTAACTTCAAGTAACTCCTCAAAAGTCTTAGATTTAATGCTACCATGGCTGGACATTTATCAAGTATCAACATTACAGAAAGTGAGTTGCAGTAGTTCGTTTTTAAAGTTTAAATACTTTTTAAGCATTAAATTGAAGAAAGTTAGCTACACCATATGTGGTTTCTATATAAAATTTCTTTCACCAGATTTTAAACTGAGTTTCCATCTCCTCTAAGAAGTGTTTTTTGAGAAATGCATTTCTTTCCTAACTGATTTGTTTCAAATTTGTAATTTGTTCTGGCTTTTTCTGATTGATTTATTTTTTGTGACATCAACATAAAGTATGAACTGTCTAGATTCAAAATTATATTCAGAAAGTACAAGAAGAAAAAATAGCAATTTTTCAAGATGAGAATCTTGCATTAAGCTAGGAACTGAAATTGATTAGATAACCCTGGCTGATCAGTCTATAAAATGAAATAGTGATTTCGTGCTGAGGATAGTGATTAAATGATTAATTTATGGATGTTTATACAGTATTTAAAACATTTTCCTAGCCATTATAGCATTATGAAGTCTAGCATCTTGCTTTTGCGAGAAGTTGTCTGAATTCAAATGATACTTTTTGCATGTAATTTAATAGTCAAGTCAAAATATAAAGTTTTAAAAAAAGCTAAATACTAGAATTAGTTGGAATTTATGGTCCTTGTAAAATGCAGCAAATAGTACTGAGGAAAGAATCATAAAATTGATGGGGGATTTTCATGGTCAAGAAAAATAAACACATATGAAGGGGAAAAAGCAAGAAAAAAGTAATCTACATGAAGGTAAAGGAATACTGTCTGTCAGGATGTGGAAAATGATAGGAAAATAAACTGTGATATGTTAATTATGTAAAGAACTCTTAACAAATAGTCAAATTGCAAAGTGGATAAAATGAGGGGTAAGCAAACCCTATACTACTAAACTCTTACACTTAGAGAAGGAATAAACGTCTTGAGTCCTTCTAGTTTTCTGGTGAGTTTATGTCTTTCTTACACAATACATATTTTCAAAAAATTGCCTTACATGTGACAATCTTTCTTTGCAAAAAAAAGTATTTAGATTATTTACATGACAACACTTCCTTTATTCTTCTGTTTTATTCTTTAGGGCATCTACAATAGATGTCTTCTAGATAGATGGATAGATAGACAGAGGTAGATAGATAGAGAGACAGAGTGATATATCAGCACATAGTGTGAAAATTAAAAATTCGATTGATGGCAAATACTTTAAAAGTTTCATTATCTGCTCACAAAAGAGTATGCATTTATTATATTCCTCTATAAACACATTCTTTAAGTTTTTATTTTAAAATAATTTGGCAGTAGGCATACTGTATCAAGAGTTAAAGTTTAAAGCTCTTTTAGTATATACAAATGTATATTTTATCCCAAGAAAGAATAAGCTGATTCTAATAAAAAATCAAAATTACCAGTACTTTAATATGCAAAGGTACAGAATCATAATTCTGAGCTGAAATAGACCAAATTTTAACTGTTTTAAATTAGCCTTAGACTCTTGGACTCGTTTCTCAGAGGGCTAGGTTGACATATGAGTTGCAAAGTACAGCAAACACTTGGGAGGGAATGTCTCAACCTGTTCCAGACTATCAGAAATATCTAAGGAAAGTCGTCCCTGTATTTTGAAGGGTTTTATTTCATCGTTCTTGCAAAGGTGTCTGGATACATGATAATCCCATTTAATCAGGGCTTTCAGTTTGATGCCATTCATATCATTGACCAGCATGAAGTCTCATAGGATGTTGAGATGACCAGGGTTCCTGAAGACTAAATTATGCTGTAGAGCTGGAAATTTAAGAGAATGCTTAAATAAGATGGCAAAAGTACACCATTGTTCCTGCCAAGGAGGCAACAAACATTTTCTGGTAGTCTGTGTTCATTGGGATGTTAAAAAAAAAAAAAAAAGTTCATTGTCACTTGTTAGACCACACTGTAGTAACAACTGCAAGGATCTATGTTGATTTTCTTCAGTGGAGACACCATATTGTCTGTATTTTTAATCACCACATGTATTGGTGATTAAATGTATTGTTGTCTGCCAAGATTAGTTTGTCTTCCACACAGACCAAACAGATTATTTAAATCTGCCTGTGTTCTTAACCCCAACCCTTTATTCTTCCATGTTTTTTATGGTGGCACTAATTGCTGCATTCCCTCACAGATACAATAAAGATTTGTGTTTACTCTTTTGGTAGGAGGGAGATGCTTTCAGTTTGGTCATTACTACAGTTTTACAGCTTTCACTTCATGGGCCTCGGAGTCAAAGAGAGATTACTTCCAGTTGCAGGGTAAATTTTCCAAATATGTACCAGTGATCTGGTGAAATAATCAAAGGATGGAATGGAGACATCACTGTGACATTTGTAATATGGGCTCAGGACAAAAATCTCAGTCATCACATTACCCCCAGAGCCTCCACTCAGATCAGTGTTTCTTAGCGGTATTCTGGATCCACAAGAATTAATGTTAGCTCAGAGGCAGTATTCAATAGTCTGTGAAAGATCTGGGCATTTCGCCCCACGCTCTATTTAATTACAAAGGGCCAGAGATACCTTTCAGAAAAGCTAAAAGGAAAATGTACAATATTAACTTATGTTAGTATTGCATAATCCTTCTTTAATGACAATCACCTTTCTCTTCATTGAAGGGGCTATGGGGTAAGGAAACTAACTCAGGTCTGGAATTTGAGGAGACATCGTGACTAACCAGGTCACTAAATTTTGATTTGTATTTCTCAGACCTTAATGTCATTTGTGGTGCAGATCAAATGGCCTATTATTTTGGTCTCTGAATGCCAAAGTATTAGACTTTTTACCATTCAAATCCTGCTGCCTATTAT